ACCTATTCTGACATGAAACGTTCCATGCTGCTGAACAAACAGGTGTTCAATGACGCGGTGGGGAAAAAAAAAAATAAAAGAGAACAGAGTGGCTGTACAGAATCACGTCACTATGAATTGGTCCGTTTGTGCAGAACTAAAAATATGTATTTCCACAGAGAACAGAAGTTTTTGTTACTGCAAATTTTGCATAACATGAATTCTCTTTGAGATTTTCACAACATAACCGTGAGAAAAAATACTGGTTCCCAGTTCCTAATCAGTTCCCAATTCGAATTGACTTTATTCAAACCAGAAAAGAAGGTATCATTCCTACCACTGCGACTCTCTGAGATGTTATTGTAATTTAGCTTTTTGATCGGCAGCTTGTTAGAAATATTAGCTGGTTTAGAAAGTTATGTTCTTAACTTCAACATCGTAACTGTGTTTTTGAGATCAGAAATATTTTGAAAAAGTACAATAGGTCTTTTTTGTAAGCAATAAAAAAGGCAATTCAACAGTTATTTTTTTTCCATTCAGCTGATCAGCAATGCACAGCAAAATATAGGGGAGGGGCCGCAATGAGGAACTGTGTTCTAGATAGCTGGAGAAAACTTCTCTGTCAACTCATTTCTCTGATTGCACAAACTAAACTAAACCAGCACAAACTAAACTAGACCAGCCCAGGCATCCTCCAGTAAAAACAGATTCCCGAGTAATTCTTTAGCCAAAAACTCTAAGTATTGGTTCGACCATCCTACTGGCTCTGGACCAGACTTGGCTGAAAAGGGGATCTGAGCAGGACCTCGTTCCATTCCCGACCCCTTTGTGTTAGTCACACATCTCCTCACATGCCATTCTCAACCTCTGTCACCCGACCATCCATCCCTCACCAGACTGACCAGTGGGACAGGTGGATTTCAGGGAGGCTGCTTGGATGCCTCTGTCTCTTTGTTATGATAGTTCCCTGGCTGGGAGGACAGCATTTTTTAAATTATTTCACCCTAGAAACTTCTAAAAATAAGTAAATAAATTGTCTCATTTGTCATTTGTCTATGTTTTGTGCTTAGAGGGAAGTTCTAAAAAAAATTGGATGAGTCTTTTTGACTGTAAAGTGTAATAAATCAGTACAATTTTTGAATTTTCCACCTGCAACAGGTTGAGTCCAAAAAATATCAAGTTGATAATCTTATCTTCATAGATAATAAAAATAAATAAATTTAAAAAATACTCAACTGCAGAGTATACTTGCATCTACGTCCGTTTAAAAGCAGCTCAATGTGACATATTTTTCTCAATTAATTGTCATTAATGTTTACTCCAGACACCTCCAGCTAAATATGTTGTATAACTTAGCAATGTCCACTAAATATCTATATTTACTGACATCTTACAGCATGTTCTCAGGGTGAACTTGCTGGACTGCCGGTTCTGGTTCTGGTTATGTTGTGGATTTTACTTTCAATCGTTTCTCCACTTTTAAAGTGATCTTTCACAAGTTATTTTCAGACCTCTTCAACCTACTGTCTTCTTTCTGGAGCCATCAGACAGATCATTGATCTCGTCATGGTGTTCACGCTGACTTCAACGTTTAGGAACACATCAAATCAAAAGTCTGAGGTTTAAACATGACAAACCCCCCTTAAAACTGCAAAGTAATGATGTTCTCGTCATGCGGCTGTTTATTGGTTCAAGTGGAAATGCACAGGGAGGTGCCCTAATATATTCCTGAATAGAAATTGCATTTTGGTTATATTAAACGTTTAAAAGATATATAAATATTTTTAGTTCTGGTGTTAAACTGAATTTTCCAGTATTAATTGATTTTAAAACAGTTGAGGCTGTCCTCTTTTTTCCACGACTGTAAATGTAACTTGATTTGTATATTTTCTGTTTGAGTCTCAATAGTTTATCACAGTTAAATCTTTCCATCTTAACCAGTTAAAACTTTACATCGCTTCATTTCACTACAGATATATACAGTTAGGGCCAGAAATATTTGGACAGTAACACAATATTTGTGAGTTGGGCTCTGCATGCCACCGCATTGGATTTGAAATGAAACCTCTACAACAGAATTCAGTGCAGATTGTAACGTTTAATTTAAAGGGTTGAACAAAAATATGTGATAGAAAATGTAGGAATTGTACACATTTGTTTACAAACACTCCACATTTTAGGAGCTCAAAAGTAATTGGACATATAAAACATAACCAAACAAAAAAGTTTTTCTCATATTTTGTGCGAATCCTTTGGAGGCAATCACTGCCTTAAGTCTGGAACCCATGGACATCACCAAACGCTGGTTTCCTCCTTCTTAATGCTTTCCCAGGCCTTTACAGCCGCAGCCTTCAGGTCTTGCTTGTTAGTGGGTCTTTTCTGTTGAAGTCTGGATTTGAGCAAGTGAATGCATGCTCAATTGGGTTAAGATCTGGTGATTGACTTGGCCATTGCAGAATATTCCACCTTTTTGCTCTCATGAACTCCTGGGTAGCTTTGCTGTATGCTTGGGGTCATTATCCATCTGTACTGTGAAGCGCCGTCCAATCAACTTTGCAGCATTTGGCTGAATCTGGGCTGACAGTATATCCCGGTACACTTCAGAATTCATCCGGCTACTCTTGTCTGCTGTTATGTTATCAATAAACACAAGTGACCCAGTGCCATTGAAAGCCATGCATGCCCATGCCATCACGTTGCCTCCACATGTTTTACAGAGGATGTGGTGTGCCTGGATCATGTGCCGTTCCCTTTCTTCTCCAAACTTTTTTTCTTCCCATCATTCTGGTACAGGTTGATCTTTGTCTCGTCTGTCCATAGAATACTTTTCCAGAACTGGGCTGGCTTCTTGAGGTGTTTTTGGCAAATTTAACTCTGGCCTGTCTATTTTTGGAATTGATGAATGGTTTGCATCTACATGTGAACCCTTTGTATTTGCTTTCATGGAGTCTTCTCTTTACTGTGACTTAGAGACAGATACACCTACTTCCCTGAGAGTGTTCTGGACCTCAGTTGATGTTGTGAACGGGTTCTTCTTCACCAAAGAAAGTATGCGGCGATCATCCACCAACCGTTGTCTTCCGTGGACGCCCAGCCTTTTGAGTTTCCAAGCTCACCAGTCAATTCCTTTTTCCTCAGAATGTACCCGACTGTTGATTTTGCTACTCCAAGCATGTCTGCCATCTCTGTGATGGATTTTTTTCTTTTTTTTCAGCCTCAGGATGTTCTGCTTCACCTCAATTGAGAGCTCCTTTGACCGCATGTTGTCTGGTCACAGCAACAGCTTCCAATGCAAAACCACACACCTGGAAACAACCCCAGACCTTTTAACTTACTGATTACAGGTTAACGAGGAAAGGCCTTTTGAGTTACTTGCAGCCTTTAGAGTCCATTGTCCAATTACTTTTGGTCCCTTGAAAAAGAGGAGGCTCTGCATTACAGAGCTATGATTCCTAATCCTTTCTCCGATTTGGATGTGGAAACTCTCATATTGCAGCTGGGAGTGTGCACTTTCAGCCCATATTATATATAAATTGTATTTCTGAACATATTTTTGTCAACAGCTAAAATAACAAAACCTGTGTCACTGTCCAAATATTTCTGGCCCTAACTGTACATATACAGTTTTGGTTCAGGCAAAACTCAACCACTAGTTGTTATGAACCAAAGAACATTTTTAAACTGAAAACACATCAATTTACAAAAGATTAGTATTTTCTCTGACACCTGGTACACAGTTCGAGACGGTTAACTTCAGTTTTATATGCTGCCTTGATTGGATTTATTTGATGCCAGTTTACGTCTCATAATATTTCGACAACAGAAACATTTTTGACATTTCTGAGCATATTTGGGACTGAAATGTAAGAAACACCAATGCCAGAGTTTATTTCCCCTGTCAGCACCTAAGAACAGCTTACCTACGTCAATTTTCCCCAGATTTATTAATTACATCCATCAACCTGAAAGCAGCAAGAGCTCCACAGTTATACCTACTTTAAGCCGTTGTGAGCTAAGCAAAACCTTCTCATCAATATTTGTACATTTTTGTACCTGTAAGTCTGTTAAATTATAAAAAAATAACACATTTCTGCATAATTTAAAATTAAAAATCTAGTGTCCTAAATTTGTTCTGTTTCATATCTACAATTTACGTAACTTGCCTACTTCCTTACTTACTACTGTGAAGGAGGCCATGTTTTTTGTTTGTTTGTTTGCAATGTGTGTAGATATGAATATGTTAAACATCACAAGTTCTCTTGATTAAAGAAAATCTTGTCAGAAAATATTTCTTATGACTTCCAATATATATCCCTCTGCTGATGAAACTTTTCCAATCCAAGCACTTCTTATTAGTGACCTACAGGTAATCTCTCCTATCATTCACACCCACCAATACTTCAGAACAAAGCGACATTTGTCTTGATGTACAAGTTTCCAACCATAATTATTAAGTTTTTGGGTTTTTTCCAAATGTCATCTGTTTCTCCGAGGAAAACTAGAACTGAAGAATAAATGTTCAAACCCTGAACTTTTTTTTTTGTTTGTTGTTGGGGTTTTTTACCTTTTGAAATGTAGTTTGTGGCTATAAAGATGTAGTTGCTTCTTCTCTCCAATAAATAGTCATTTTTCATAAATAGTCCAATTCAATACATCCCTGATCAAATTAACCCACACAGGAACAAGAGCTCATGTTTGTTCTCACCGTATCTTCAGTTGAAGCCACTTCCTAAATAAATGTCCTAGTTTGTGAGTCTGAATGGGTTTGTGTGGGTCTGTGTGGGTCTGAGTGGGTCTGTGTTGGACTCTATCTGCTCTACCTGCGCAACAGGTGCAGTCACACCTGTCAGATTAAACCTGACTTGACTCTTCAAAAAATAAAAATTAAAATTAAAAACTAAAAAAAAAAAAACACCCTAATCTTGTTACCTCTATTTTTTTTTTTTTTTTTTTTTGGCGGAGGGTTTAAAAAAAAAGTTTCATATTTGAGTAAAATGTCGAAACCGAAGAGGTTTCCCTACCGGGAGGAGAGCGCCGAGAGCCAGCAGAGTCCACAGGGTGAAGCTGAAGCGCCGGAGCGGCTTCATGATGCCGCTCTCTCCTGATGGACTCAAAAACAAAAACAAGAGTCTTGGTGTCTTTACTGTCTTCTACTCGCTGACGGTCCTCATGTTTAAACTTCCTGCCTTGAAAACGCTAGCCCTCCCGGTCCCCACTCTGCTTCTTTCGGACGGGCGCCAGCGACATCAGTGAAGTTCAAAGTGAGAGGAGAGAAAGTTAGTTTTTTTTTTTTTTTTCCCTCCTCCTCGCTGGTTTAACGGAGGGGCGGAGCGTCGTGACTGAGCCACTCCTCTCATCAGCAGCAGTTTGTTTGGCTTTTTATCAGCGTTATTCAGGCGTCTTGAGAGGAAACGCTCTCGTTCTGGAAGCCTTTCGAGGAAAGAAAGGCCTCGCCGCGGACCCGCATGTCCAGCCGAGAGAGCGCAGCGCGTCACCCCGCGCGCTCGCCGTGAGCCCTGGAGCCTGGAGGCTTTTCGGGCCCCGCAGCGCGCGACAACCCAGGCTGTTTCTGCTGCACGCGGCTCGGCTCCTCGCAGGTGATGCTGCCTCCTCTTTGGGGGTCACACGAGTGCGTGGAAAGAATTGGTGGGTTTCACAGACTCGAGTCAAGTGCGGGACAAAATGCGCGTCATGGGGCTCCTCATGTGATACGTTCAAGGAAGAAGAAGAGGAAGAAAAACACATTTCATCTGAGTTGAGGATGCGTTTGCTTGTAATTCAGTGTCTGGAAAACGGCCATTTACATTCAGTCTTTTCGTCGTTAATTAATTTAAGGAGACACTACCACCACCACCACTCTGCAAGACAGTTTACAGAAGTTTACGCAACTCCTCCTTGTGTCTGCAAACACGTTCATCCCTCTTGAACAGGCTTCAGTCTATTTTATGTGCTGGATCATCAGACATGTTTTTATACAGTAGATCTGAGAAGTCCATCAGTTCTAAACATAAAGAAGGCATAAATAAATATATATATATATTTATTTATTTATTTTTGGTCCAATGCCATACAAACTCAATAAAGCACAGTCATTGTGATTGTGACAAAAATGTGTAAAAGTTTAATACAAATAGAGCATTCCTTCTTGCCTTTTTTTTTCTAAATATCTTTCCAGATTCGGATCTTCAAAACTGATTTAAAGTATGAATTCAGAAGAGTACAAACAACACGCAGAGCCCCTGAGCTCAACAGGAACATCTTTGAAAGGAAACCAGAGTATATTGAGGCTTTGAACCGCACTCGCGTCAGTGATGCACCGGCCACAGATTGCATGCCATCACTGGCTTTAGATAATGATGGCATGCAAATTGTGAGGAAGAGGTGAAAAAAACCAGGAAGAGCAGCAGCTTCTCTATTGGCAGCAGGTGAGGACCAACTATCCCATGATACCAGCAAACATTAAAAAAATTAAGATGAGCATCAGAAGGAACATTTACCAAAGCAGCTATGGTTGGCCTTTATATTTCCTCTTATTGTGTTTGTGGCACAGTGTTAAAACGTCAACCAGTAGTTGCTTATTACTGCCGGTATAAGCGACCAAAATTGTGACATTGTGGCAAAAGAAAGGAACAGTCCTCAAACAGCAAGGTGCATTGGTTTGCCTTCTGGTGTCATCAACAGACTTACAAGGAAAAAACACCAAGTTGACTTTAATAACTTAACAGCACAGCAGGCCATGTTGGCCTAAGGCAATGAAGGAGTATCAACTACTAAGGAAACGTTTATAAGGTTCTGAATTTTAAAAAAGTGAAAGTAAATTTCTACAAAAAAAGTATTATTTGGGCATCTAACAAATAGAAATATTTATTTACACACATTTTGTCAAAATGTGTCATTTATGGCCATGCATACACACAAAATGTTGAGCGTCACTCAAAGCAGAGTTGCATGTAAAGTAAGGGAATTGCTGACGCTCCCCAATTTAGCATATTGTAATATCTGCATGGATCATCTGACTCTATTTTCCATCAGGTCTAAATCCGTGATGAGAAACTGTTGTTTCACCTTTCATTTCTGAATAAAACAGGAAAATTCTAAAAGAAAGCCACACATGTATTTACTTTCTGTAACTACGCCAAACCGTACATTTAAAAATCTTCAATATTAGAAGATATGGAACCAACCGCTCCATTTTTGTTAAACTTGTTGTGAAGATGAGTAAAGCTGCTCCTCCTACCCAAAACAACTGCAGCTCCCTGTGACTGGCCTCTCATCTCACGTTGCACCAGCTCTTCAGAAATTTGAATAGAAATAATATGACTAAATGCAATGTTGCATCGAAACACGGAGTGCAGAACAAACCACCGCTGTTTTTACACATTTTTCCAGGAAATTACAAGCTATGAAACACTTTTATTTCAATACCAGCAGTCACTTAGTGATGCTATAAACCGCTGATCATTGCAAGCCGAATCTGAAAAAAATGGAATGTGATCACTTTATTTAAATATTTCAGGAAGTCTGTATTTTTTGCTTTGAAATCCTTTTCAGTTTGACTTTGTGGGTATAAAAGAAAAAAAAAAATTTAAAAAGCCAACGCAAGAATGGATGGATGGCTCTTGCTGCAGAACAAGCTTTTCTCTTTCGCAACACTGCTAAACTATTTAGAGTGCGGGTTTTATTACATGCAACACTTAGATACTGAAGTGGAGGTTTTGGAGGGAAATAACTGGAGAATCAAAATGACTTAGCAATTTGCACCGCTTGAAAATAGTAAGGGTGCTTTTCTGGCTGCGAATCTGTCTAATGTTCCTTTTGCAAAATTAACACTTCTTAATTCTTGTGCTGGTAAAGATGCGTGGTGTTGAGTGGGTGATTTGCCGACCTTTAAATAGTTCGCTGGATGCCGGAGCTGCGACTGCTTTGTGACAGATAGTTTCATAATGGCTGTTAAAGGAGGCCTGCCGATGGTATCTGACGGAGGCCGAGCTGAGATGAACTGGTCGCGGTGACCACCATTCCCAAGGAAATGTTATATAACCCTCGTGGGATGGTCGCAACTCACAACGCTTTGCTTCTTCTTCTTCTTCTCTGTGAGTTTCTCTTTCCTTTGGCACATTTGTTGGAAGCTGCATGTGCTTTTAAATATCTGCGCTGAGTGTGCTCTGTCATGTGATCAGGAGTGGAGTATTTTCATGTGAGAGTTGATGCTCAGGGACAGAAGGAATGTGATGCTATCTGGATGGATTGTAAACATGTGCACAGTCATTAAATTCATGGCGTAAACATCATAGTCAGATTAAGCTGTTTGGCGGTCGTACCTGGAACTCAACTCAACGTTTCCTGCCCCACTGGTTATTATTTAATCTGGTCAAAGGATTACGTCACATTTACGTCAATGTTGTCAATAGTTTGTCCTAAAATTAGTTTAAGATGCTATTCAGGAAGTGTTGAATTAATTTTTTATTTGTTTAAATTTTGTAGATTTTTTCTCTGATATAATCAGACCAGAAAACTAATAATCTAAGATAAGAAAAAAATAAGTGGGATCTAAGTAGTCTGCCACACATTCACATTCAACAACTGGTTAAATAATCAACTTTTTAATGCTGGGAATTGAGGAAACAATGAGACAACAATGAAACAGAAGAAATTAAGCTTTTAAAATGCTCTTGATTGTACAATGATGGCAATTCAATCTGGAGAGACTCAGATGGAGAAAGATAGCAATTAAAAAGGTTTATTTACATACATAAATTGAAGTTCTTTGGCGCTCAGGCCCCGGCTGAGTACATCAACCTGTGAGTCGCAATAAGCTTGGATGAGCATTCCTGGTGCTGGTTAGGAATGTCATCCCTTGGGGCCTGAAACTGGTGGTGGAGGTCGGTGAAGGAAAGTGTGGCTGGAGAGCCAGGAGAGTGGAGGTGGAGAAGGGGTGGAGGTGGGTTGAGGGGAGCTTGAAAGCAGAAGACACCATGGATGGAGGTCCTTATCAAATGGGGCTTGATCGGTGATTGGCCGTGATGTGGCTTGGTCCAGCGTCGATAGGTCGACGACGATGAGCGAGACGCGCCGATTGGATGATGCAGGTGGGGCTCGAGAGTTTTCCAGTTTGAATTTGCGCCTCGGCTTCATTAATACTGAAAGTTCATATTCTTTTCTCTGTAAAAAGATGGTTATTGTGTCAAAAAAAAAACTCTGGGAAGTATGTCTTTTCCTTTACATTTGTTGTCAACATTGTAAAACAAAATGTGCTGAGTTTCAAACCTCAGTCAAACCAGTTGGGTTGGAAGTTGCACTGTGGTGGTGATATCTCACCACAATGCTAATGACGTGGTACATTATCACTTTTAATCACAGGTTTTTAGTTTAGTAGACTTTCCCTCACTTAGACTAAAGAACAAAAAATAGTTAGGACATTTTGTTAGTCTATGCTTGCTTCTTTGAGCTTCAGCATGTTTCAGGCTATAGCACTGCATGACCCTTTGTACTTTGAATAAATGTAAATGTGCAACACAGTTGTGTTTGTGTTTCACTCGTTCACAAGGCCATATTGTGACATACAAACCCTGACATACCGACGGTGTCATAAACTACTGTAATTCAAAGACAATGCCAGTCAGTGCTCTTGTTGATGCTGTTCTTTAGACGACACCAAGCTTGGGAGCATGAACCTTTTGACTTTGGGTGGAGAGACATTGTCACATTTGCATGTAGAGATAAACTCCTGTTTTATCACAGTTGTGCAGCCAGATGACATTAAAGGAACAGTTCAGACTTCTATTTTAAGAGAGATTTTGGGGACCTGTTAAGTGCTGCCAAAATTTGGAGAAAGATTGTTTCTCACCACAGCGTTTTGCTAACAGCTTGCCAAAGTCGGTCCGTTTCTGGGACATTTCCGCCTTTTCTGATCAGGTGTAATCGCAAATCTTTCACTGGGGTCAGGTGAATACAGGATTGTTGATTCTGACTCACTTCCCCACGGCCAACACCTGCATCTCACGTCTCCACGTGCCGCTATATTCTTCTAAACAGATCCTTAAACAAAAACTCCTGCGAACAATTAAAACTGAGAACTTCGGTTTTGTGTAGAGGTTCGACTGAAAGCTGGAATAAATAGGAAAAAAGGTTGTTGTGTAATATTTACCTAATTCCATTTTTGTCTGTCGGACTCTTTCATGTCAGGTTTGTTACGAACTTGTATTGTTCGTGTTAAAGGCCATGAAATAGCAGAAGTATAATCTCA